GAAATAAAAAATAGTTATTTTATATAATTGTCTTCAAAATAATTACAAAGTTATTTAAACTCCTAAGATCTCGAAAATTATTTATAAACCTTCATTTTGTTCACCCATTTCTCAGCTATCTATTTTATAGCTTTTTAGTAAATAATATAATATTGGCCCACAATTAAAGTAGAGTATTTTATTTAAATTTAAAATGTAAATAGAAAGGTAAAAATAAACTTCATATACAATAATCTATTCACTTTCAAATAGCACTCTTAAGTTAGTTATTATTATTCAACCATAAAAAGATATTCATCACATACACTAATTTGAATAAGTTGCCTACTTTGTGGCGTCTGGGGAAACTTTAACCGGTGGTCCTTGATCCCAGATCCCAGATGCCAGATCCCAGACCCAAGTCGTCATCCAAAGTCGCTGAAAGAGACACGAAATTGGGGCCAGACGTCGACGATGATGACGATGACTTTGTCTGGACCTCTTTGTCCGACTCCTGACCCACTGTCGGAGGACCTCTTGTTATTCTGAATTTATTACACACACGCACACACTAATGAGCGCCAGTGGCAGAGGTGCTCATAAAAACCTCCCCCCCAACCACTTTGGAGCACCCCCATCCCCACCCACCACTTTCCCCCTCTTGTGGAGCATCAAATGGCAGAGTTTAAACCTCATCGCTGGTGCATAAATTTCAACCAGTTTAGTGCTTTTGCAGCGCCACTCTCCTCGTCATCAGGATGCGTTGCTGTCCATTCGAGCATGTTTAATAAGCGTCGCCATTTTTCATGCGCAGTCAGCGGAGGAGCACCCCACCCCCAATCCACTTTCCCCCCAGCAACCCATCCCTCCCCTTCACTTTCCACTCCCGCGTGATGTAACATCCAGATGGATGGGGCAGCCATGGGAACTATGAGTGCCACGTGAAGAGTTTGCTCTTAGCAAGCCAGTTGCAAAATATTTGAACTGCACGGGGAGCGCACCACAAAAAGTGGCAATGTCACACCACAGGAAATTGTGAAAAGCGGAAATCGATGAACTATAAGTGATTCCTAAACAACGGAACCAAGAAGAACGTAATGATATCACTACTTCAACGAGAAAGGAAGTTATTAATTAGGTTCTATATTTTATTTTCATTTTTAAAATGATGCAAACTAAGTTGTTTAATTTAAATCAATATAAGTTTGCTTTACGATCTGCATTTTATGTGACAAACATGCTTCCTAAATAAAAATTGTAGTATTATAAGAATTTATTTGGTGGACGTTAAATGAAAGTTTTAGGGATCATGCTTTAAGAGGAACATGCCATCCATGAGTAAATATTGTTTCATTTCCTGGCCCCATAAAGATATACATTTTACTACAAAACAGCCTCTTAACCACATGGAGCTCCAGTTTCTTCACATCTGCGATAGGAACTAATGGCGAGGCGACAAATGCAAGACTTAAAGCGAAACGCCCCATAAAGATATGAATCTTCGACGAAACTTTCCCCCGGGAGCAGCGACTCCAACTCAATTTATATGGCATTTATCAACCATTTGGCTTGGGTGTGTGGGCCCCAGACAAAACGTGAATTATGATGATGCTGCAGAAGAGTGACACACCGTTTCGTAGTGGAACATCGTCCTGTTTTTTCTCTTTACCAGGATTCTGCTGTTCTGGCCATTTTGTTGATGTCTGACTAGTATTTTTCCTGCTGTTGTCGGGTGTTTGTTGGTTTTTTTTTTTCTTTCCAGGAGCGGAAAATTTGTCAACTCAGTGAATCGTAAATGTTATATGGAGCGAGACAGGAACATCAAGGCGGAAAGGGACAAGAGCACTGAACAAACAACTGAAAATGTTGTTTGCATTGAAATTTCCTTCGTTTGGTTTTCAATTAGACGACGAGAGCGGCCACCGCGGCGTATGAGCAATGTTTGGCAATAATTTGCGGCTCAAACAGAGCACAGAGAGGGTGGGAAATATAGAAAAACCGCAGGAGCAAGGACAAACAAGGTGGAAGCTCCAAGGACGGCGGCAGTTTAGCTTAAGGTTGACAAATTGCCCAGCGAGGACACGAAGACATGGCAGTACATCTGTAGCTATTAGACACGTAGCCGGAACTCCCTGGGATGAGATGCCCTGGGAAATGGGGAAATGGCGGATGGGGCATGGGGGCGTGGTCCTCACGTCCTGCCAGCGGACATGCTTCAACCAGGTGTTCGTGCGAGTGTGTGTGCGTGCAATAAATTTCACCTGCACACAAGTTGAGCAACAAGAGCGGCGGCAACAAAATCAAGAAAATGAAGCTCGCTTATTTAGTGCCTCCATCTAGTGTTGCCGAAAGTTTATTTTGCCTTTTAATACACTGCAGAAAAACTACCGATTAAAACGGGAATTTAGGTTTTTATCTTTAGTTTTTCGAGTGAATAAAAATGTTTATTTGGATCTGGCAAATAATGTTTGGAATGAATTACGCAGGAATAAATTTTAAGGAATGAATTACATAAAAGAATATTTTTTCAGTACCATTTTGTCATTTTATCATTTTTTCAATTTTAATAATTAAAGTTGGATTATCACTGTTAAAAGTACATGATTCCTTTTACAACTTTTTACTGCCGTCTTTCGCTTTTAAAGGGAGTTTAATTAATTTTTTTTCTGTGTATGTTCATTCTTTGATTTTGTTTTCTACGCTTTTCTTACGTGTGAATTTTGCCTAATTTATTATTTCTCAAGGAGAAATTATTCACGGCATTAGACACATGAAATTAGATTCACTAGAAGCAGAACAAAAAGTAGAAAGTTTTCCCCATCTGCTTTTTTTTTTTTTTTTTTTTTGCTGCACTTCCACAATCATTTACTTAATTATTTAAAATGCTTCATGCAATTTGTGCCAGGCGCTGCTTTTCCTTTTCCCTTCTAAGACAAATGCAATTTGTTTATGGCAAAGCAAAGTGAAGGCAGCAGGAGTCCTGGGGATTTGGCTTTTGTGAGTGCGAAGAAAGCAGGACGAGAACAGGACGCACAGGACGCCCAGGATACGCAGCGCATTTTGCTAAAATTACTTGGCAGCGGCGAAAATGGAAGGAACTGCTGGGAAAGCTGAGAAAGCAAACTCCACAGATGAGTCACCTTGCAACATTAACCCCTTGCCGACGACTTCCATCCACTTTTTCCCCTCCTCTCGAGCAAATTGCAATGCAAATTGAGGGAATAAATGAGGCTCACTCTGATGCTGATGCAGATGCAGATGATGATGTGAATTAGCTTTGCAAATGCTGCTTAATATTTTCCTTTGGCTTATGCAGAAAAACATCGTTAGCTGCAGGCTGAGAAAACGCAGAGCATTTTTGAAAAGTGGGCAATTTCTAAGTGTAAATAAATAAAAAAACTAAATTGTAGTTTTCTCTCAAAAGGCACTTGTTATTATTATTGCCGAGTCGTAAACATGTAGATAAGATAAAAGGTCCGATAAGATACTTAAACAAGCGATAAGTAAAATAAATCACTGCTTATCTAATTTGACAATTTCATAGTACTAAACAAACAAGAAATTCATTTGCATAGGCCTTAAATAGCATTACTTAATCGCACATTTTCTAATTTATGGCTCAATAAAATCTCCCTTTGTGTTTGAACAAAAATTCAATTCAAACCTTTTCCAAACTCCATTAGTATTTAAAGTTATTACGAAGTTGTTTACTAAGCTGAATTTAAGCTGCGGGCAAATGTTTCAAATTTCCCTCCGAAAAATAATCCAAATTCATACAACAATTTGAACAGAACCCACCGCAACCTGTGCAAACGTAATCTATATGAACGTAAAGTTATCAAATATCAGAAAATACATTTGGCTTTCCTGATTATTTATGCCCAACATTCAGCTTTTGGGCTAAGCTGCCAGCCACCAAACCAAACCAAACCAAGCGAAACCAACTCGCTCCTAACACTTGCGAAATATTGCGTCTGCCTGTGCGTCATTTTTCAATTTTCCCCATTGGTGCACCTGGAAAAGCAGAGGAAAAGGAGCGGAAAACTGGGCGGGAAAGTGCGGGAAAAAGATCCTAATAAGAAAGCCAACATATGCAGCTACATGTGTGCGGGTTCCAATCAATAGGAGGTGTGGGCGAAGGGAAACCACAAGAAAATCTTTCTGCGGCTTAGAGGAATTTTCGTTTTTCCCATCTCATTTTTATGTGCGATGCGGGCGAATAAAATCACAATTTTATCTTTAGCCGCAAAGTGGAATGGAAATTATTATCGCATAAAAATCTTGGCATTGTTATACCCAGAACGGCCCCACTTGCCACAAAAGTTAATCCCATCGAATTCGCTGGTAATTGGCATCAGTTGAAATCTGATTCATAACAGATTCCTCAACTTGTTTGTGACTTTTTGTAACAAAGTTTCTTCTGCCAAAAGCCGCATGCAAACAATGTTTTTAGCACCTAACCTTTTGTGTTTTCCATGTTTTAGCACAAATTTCGTTGAACAGCAAAGTGAACATGACAGTTTTATAAATGGCTTCACACCGTGTTGGTGGTCTTCTGCTGGCCAACTTCTACATTTGTTTAAATACCACATTTATCTGCTGTTTTTTCTAGGTCAAAACTCGTGTGTTTCAGCTGATGGAACACAAGTTTGAACAGATGCTATTTGATAATAAGTTATAATTTGCAGAGAGAAGTGAATCTGTTTGTGTTTGCTTTAAATTATAATTTAATACGTCTTAACTTATTTAAGAGAAACATTGTTTATATGCATATATTAATTTAATTTTCAGCTAAAAAACCCACAATTATTTTACTCAAGTCAAGAAATTTTATGAGAACACTGAACATTTTTGTTCACCCTTCTATAAAAATGTTCTGCTGCTTTCAAAAAATATTCCACAATAAGTAATTCGATATTTATCTCAATTAATTGGAAAAATATATCCTATAGATATTTTTAGATGCCAAGGTATTTTTCTTTTATTATTTCATATATCAAAGGCAATGGAATGTGACTCACCTCGATGCAGAATTGGCAGCAGCACTGCTGGAGCGCCATGGCCTCGGCCACCTCCTCGACGTCGATGAGGCACAGCTTGCAGGTGAACGGCTGGAAGGCGGCGGCGGTAGTGGGCGTGGCCGGAGTGCCCACCGAGGGCGTAACATCCGCGGAGGCGAGCATCTCGCGTCGCTTCAACGCAATGCCATCCCGAACGCAGCAGGCCTGCGCCGCCTGGTTCGCACTGGCCATCGAGAGCAGGGAGCTCACAGTCAGCGGATAGGCGTGGTTGGTACCGAAGGGTCCCAGTTCCCCGCCCCCCGGTGCCGCAGTGGGCGTGGTTGCGGGCGTAGAATTGGCCAACTGCTGCTGTTGCTGCTCCTGCTCCTGATTCAGATTCAGATTCTGGTTCAGATTTAGATTCTGATTAAGATTCAGATTATTCCCGGAACTCGAGTGCAACGTGGCCGTGGTGACATTGGACGGCGGACTGGGACTGGTCGAGTTGGCAGTTGCCCCGCCACTCAACCGGATCTGGGCATTCACATTGATGTGCGGCTCCTGCAACCGCCGACGCTCCTCCTCCGATCCCATCTCCAAGTGATTCAAGGCGGAGTCCGGACGCGGGACAAACCCATTGGCCAGGGAGTAACGCGATCCGGAGGCAGCCAGCGATAGCAAACTAGAGCACCGGGAGCAAGTGCCCACGCCGTTCATGCTGCTCACACTGTTCCGCAGGCGATTCAGTGGCCGGATCTGCTCCACGCCACCCGAACTGAAGATCCCGCTCCCGTGAACCGCCAGCGAGTGACCCTGACTCCGGCTCTGGCTCAATCCATGGACCTGGCCATGCGACTGGGACTGGCGGGTGAGAGCCAGCACCGTTTCGCACTTGCGGAGTCCCGTGTACTGGACGATCGACTGGGACTTCTCCTGGTGCAGACTGCTGGCGCTGCCCTCGCGTCGCACGATGTGCCATATCTTCTGCTGGACGACGTTCAAGGAGCTGCTCGAACCGCTGATGCTCAGGCTGGTGCGTCCTTGGCCCTGGTGGCCGCCGTTGGCTAGCTGACGGCCAGCGGGATCGCGGAGCACCACATCCTGTTCGGAGGGAGTGCGCGTGATCCGGATCTCCGGGGAGGCGGGTCGTTCCCGATCTGGTAAGCCACCACCTCCTCCGGTGATGGAGCCTCCATTACCTCCGTTACCTTCTCCGTTTCTGCCACGACTGCTGCTCGCCTTGAGTCCCACCAGCGATTTGAGAAAGTTCTCGAAGCGACGCCTTCGCGGCAACTGTCCACCGCCAGAAAGTCCCAGTGAGCTCTCCAAATCCCCACCACCTCCAACTCCGCCTCCTCCTCCTCCTCCGTTTCCATTCGCAGCCAGTGCTCCTCCGTTCCCAGATCCTCCGCCTCCTGCCCCCGTGCCACCCACATCGCCATTCGCCGAGGAAATGATGATCTTGCCGCGCGCCTGCGGATCCAGCAGGGCGACCGTCTCCGCGTCGGCGGAATCGTGGGCGTGGCCGTGATCGTGGCGGGGCGTGGCATGCAGGGCGGCGGTGGCCTTTTGGCTGGCGGAGCGCTGGTGCTGCTTTGTGTTGGCCAGATTGTGGATTGGCGAGGAGTCCTAAGGACAAAAAATCGAAATAAATAAGTTGTTAGCAATATAGGAATTTCAACACATAATTTTGTAATGGACAAATCAATAATATGAACAAGTTGTTATCAATATAGGAATTTCAGCATATAATTTTTCAATGAAAAACAAAAAAACATTAAATTAGATAATGAGTAAAATAAGCGTCATTTTGAAAACAAATGTAAATTAACAAGGAGTCCTAAGAACAAAGTAATGGAATATGTAAGTTGTTAGCAATATAAGAATTTCTAAATATGATTTTGTAATGAAAAAAATGTATTTAGTTAATAGGTAAAACAAGTAAAGCGTCGTTTTGAATAGAAATTTGAATCAACTATTTTTAGATATACTATTTTTATTACACTTACATTTTTATGGATGTTTTGCACATATAAACAAACAGTGTTTTTTTAAGAAAGAAACGTTTATATATACAAACACTTTTTCAAAGAAGATGGGTAAATATTTTAAACAAAAGAAACGTTTATCACTTTTAATTTGTTTAAAAATAACTGAGTTACAACCATATTAATACTTTGAAATATAATATTTAAGAAGTTGTAGGAGCTGATTGAGTTTAGTAAGTGTACTTTAAATATTCTACTACTACTACTACTGAAACTTGTAAATGGGTTCCTTTGAAGTCTGGAATAAACTCTCTAAAAAAAAAAGGGGGGGAAGGGGGGTTGACTCACCCGCGAGTCCTGTTCCAGCTCCTCCTCGAGCGCACTGTAGACGGGGGCGTACCAGGAGTAGGAGAGCTGCTTGCGGGCGGACGGAGCCGCAGCTCCCGCTCCACCGGCGACGACGACGTTGGCCGTGGGTGGTGCCGTGTGGCCACCTCCGTGGTGCTGGTGCTGCTTGAGCGGCACAAGCTTGGCAGCTCCCCCTGCACCTACTCCTCCGCCTCCGCCTCCTCCTCCTCCGGATTGGTTTGTGGTCACCAGATTGTTGTTGTAGCTGAGCGGAAGGCTGCGCCTCTGGTGTTGACCTCTTGTGGGTGGCAAGTGCTTGGTGGGCTTCCTGCCCACTCCGTACAAGCTGCTGTGGTGCTGCCTCCTCTGCTGCTGGTGATTGTGATTGTGATTATGATGCGGATGTTGCGGATGATGGTTGGATCCCTGGTTAGTTAGTTCCTTCTTGGTGAAGATCAGCGAGGCACTGTTCTTGCTCAGCCTTATGGAGCGCTGCTTGTCCACCACCGTGGCCTCGATGTGGGTGAGCAGTGGCACCGTCTCCGACAGCGGCAGCAAGTGCTGCGAGTTCTGCGAGGACTCCGAGGGGAAGTTGATCACAAAGCTCTCGGCGGCGTCATCAAAGACACTCGCTCGAGCGGCACCACTCACACAATCCTCGCTGGATGAGGGACTACTTAAAGAGTTCCTTTTGGCGGATCGGTTTTGATTGTGGCTCTGGCTCTTGAGATCCTTGAGATCCTTCGCGTGCTGCTGGTAACTACTGTAGCTGATCTTGTTCTCCACCAGCAATTCCAGCGGTGGCAGTTTGGCGTTGTGGTTGTGATTAAGGTTTAGGTTGTGGCCTAGGTTTAGGTTGTGGTTCAGGTTTAGGTTGTGCTGACTCCTTTCCTGGTGGATGTCCTGCGGATTGGAGGGCGTGGCGTGTGGGTGCACGTGCACTGGTTGCACCTGGTGATGCACTTCAGTCGACTGCAATCCCGTCGACGCTGGCATCGATGGCATCGCCATGGGTGGCCGCATTCTGGCCCAGACTGCTCCCGATCACCGGGCTCGAAGTGGAGGATCTGCTCAGCTTAACCGTGGCTGGCGACGGTAGCGTCATGCTGACAAAAGCCTGCCGGAAAAAGAACGAAATAGGAGTCAGTTTTGATTCAATAAACTGGCAAACAATGGCTCTTTTATAGCTGCGATGGAATGCAATATATTTCGCTGTTTATCAAGCGCTGGATTATTATTTTTATTGAGATATTTTATCAATAAATCGCTTAGATGGTTTGACAGAAATCTCAAGAGCAACGAATGGAAAGGTTTAAAGGTTTTCTTTGAGAGTTGGAAAACATTATGATATTAAAAGCTTTTTTTATCTTTTGCTCAATATAGCTACAATTCATTATTATTTAAGTTAAATTATACATTAAAATATTTAAAATGAATTCAACACGGAATTAAAAATTAATCTTTAGTATAAGCTACATTTCTGTAAATCAAATATACCACCGCACTCTCGAGTCCAATTTTTGGGAACAATAGCCACCTCTACGAATTTCATTCAACTGCTGGCAGCTGCAGCCGAATTTGCATTTACGGCTTATTGGATTTATGGCAATTGGCCGATTGGGAATCGGGTTCTCTGCGTTCTGATTAGAATTTGGTATTGCAGAGGGCTTTCCCTTTGGAATTGAATCCGCCCAATTATTAGCCTTCCTCTTTGTCAGTTGGCTAAAGAGAAGAACGAATCAAGATATCTGAGTAATCGATGGATCACAATTAAATTGACGCCTGTACCTACGAAATCACTAACTCTTGTTGGAGTACATTAATCTATTATTTGATTATGAGCCACAATTGATGCATAACCGTACTGAGTGGCTTTCGATGTTACTCTCCTCCGTTCAGTCAGTCAATTTGATTGAGCTTTCTCATCCATCATGGCGGTGAAAATCTCCTGGGGCCTTTCGTTATTCACCGCGGCTTCCACGTCAATATCTACTGGCACTAATCCCTTCAAATTCGAGCAATACAACGCCAATTTAGTGGCAATTAATTGGCAAATTGTTTGACTCGCCGCCAGAAACTATTCAACAGATATTTGCATTGCAGTGCCAATGCCAATGCAACAACAGCGAAACCAATTTCAATTTGCAAACTCTCGTTCCGCAAACAGAATAAAAGAGGAAAAACAAGGTATCGGTAAGTGGGCAGGAATAAGTCTCGGGAGGATCTGCCGCCCCATTCGCATCCAGTCAATTAAGTTATTTCCCTCTTTAAGCCTGGTCAGGTGCCATGGCCAGTGTGCCGAAAATGTTCCCAACGGCCTGCAAATTGTTAAATAATAAACCGAAAATCAGAATTTCTGGTAATTTAGATAAACTGAAATCGGAAAATTGTTTCTGCATATTGGCTCCAAGCCAATAAATAAAACAGGCATTTTTGAATGGAAAGCCGTTTAAAGAGGCAAAGAATTAAAATTTCTGTTCAAAAAGAAAAATTACCAGCACTTTTAATTGAACATTTGCATTGCACTTAATATTGGTCACACTGTTACTTTGTGTTTTATGTTGGCCACACTGTTTCGCGGAACTCGGCGGTAACCTGCAGGAATTTTCCATTAATTTCAACTTAATTACGGTGGCAGCAGAAACAGAAGCCGCAGCTGGCTCAAGTTGCACATGCCAGTCCGCCGTTTGAGGTATGTGGCTATATTAATTTTTGGCATGCCTTCCCCTGCTTCCCTTCCCCTTTTCCCTTCACCTCAGGCATTCCCACATCTTCCCGCATCTTCCGTTCAGGAGAACGCACCGAAGTATGCAACGAAAAAATGCGAATTACGCATAATTGCCGAGCTTAACTGAGAAGCGGAAGTACACAAGAAGAAAATGAATACATACAACTGAAATATAATCAATAAAAATATTTCTTTGATTCGTGAAATTAGATAAACATTTTAAATCAATGAGTGTATCTTTTGGTAAAGCTAGGTGGAAAACAGATACATAATTGAGAAATCCCTAAAGCTCGACATCTTTTAAGTAACTTTATAAATTTACTAATATTTATTCTCGTTCTTAAATTACGATGCATAACGTTGAGCAGCTTTAGAGTCATTTAAAACATAATTTTATATATGAAACCCATGTAATTCAAAACTTTCTACAGTATTTTCCCCCTTTGCATGCGGAGAAAGTGGAGCGAAAAAAGAAGCCACAAGCCGCAGCGCTGGAAAAAAGCGAAAGATAAATTGCTTGCTCACGCCCACATAAGCGTTGCTACAAGGACAAGTCAAAGGACGAGGGGTGATCTGCTTTTTGAGGAGGTTGGAGGTAGAAGGGGGAAGGTGGACATCTACAAGACACATTTGCCAACCGGCTGACACTGACTGCCTGAATTCTGGGCTGTGGCAAGTGGCATGACTGCCGGCAAAATTAATCGCCCTCGGCGCACATTGTGAATTCCAGAAATTTGTCTTTTGTACATTTACATTTAGCGCCATTTAAGCGGAGGAGCAGCAGAAACGAAGTCAATGCCAAAAACGAAGATTGATGAAAGCCTTTATGCAAAGCAGACAATTGTTTTTCCACACTAATTCCGAGCCTCACTCAACCTGCATCCGCTGCTAATTATACAGTATGTATTTATGTGCGAGAAACTGTCAAATCACCCAATCATGACATGCAATGAAACTTCATCTCCGACGCAAACAAAAAAGAAATCTGACAATCAACAGCAAATAGGGATTTGTTTCATCATCGCCACAGCGAACAACTAATTGACATACGTCAATTGGCCAAAGCGAAATTAATGAAGAGCCCGTCTGAACGAGCGGCAAAAACACTGAATTATTTCAGTCAATTACCACTGGCGATCAATAAATAAAGCAAGGCAAAACTTACCATAATTCAAATGGCCAGCAAGTGCACTAGATAGCCTGAATTCCTGGATGAACCTGCAAAAAACGGAGCAATTTAAATGCGTTATTAAAAACTGTAATATTTATGAGTACTTTGCATTCTAATGAAAACTTTAAAAAAGTTTAACCATGCTTAAATTATTTATTAAATATTCATTAGAAATGATAGAAAGTTCGCGCTAATCAGAACATTAAATTGTCACGCAAATGGAATACAAAATGGAATACTTTAAATAAGTTTTTGCATTGTGAAACATTTATTCAACTTAACAGCGTATAGAGGATAAAAAACAAATGTTTGTATAAATCATACTTATATTTTAAAGAAATAGAAGTTATTGTGTTATTCCTTTTAAACAAAGTTTTGATTAAAATATAAACGAACTACCAAATGCAAAGATAACAATATGGAGCATCTAGGCGAGAATATAATTTTATTGGGGTACCAAATGGACCGTTTTTTCTACGTTAAATTACAAATTAGTCCGCTTCAAGGCCTCAATTAATTGTTGTTAGACCCGAGCCCTAATTTAAGTTAACAACCTTTTGGCCATCATCAGCGGTTGGCTAAAAGGGAATTTTAATTGCTTGTCTGTTGCTGTGTGCGTGTGTGTGTGTGTGTAACCGGCTAATTAGACTCGCGGCCCTCTAACAAAACCCGAGCAAACGGCCACTTAGCTCGGGGTTAAAGCCTGGCCAAGTGGTCACACATGCAACTGCACATATGTATGTAAGTATGCTCCATACATACATTATATGTATACATATATATATGCATATGAATTACATGAAGAAACACAGGTTGCCCTGAAAATTGTGCTATGCTTTGTCCGTGAAATGTCTACACTCGCCAACACACACACACACACTTAGGGGGAGCATTTTAGTTAATTGTAATTGCAGCCTGCTCATGACATAACTACCAGTTGGCTGACAGGTTTTCCATCGATTACCAACGGAGGGAGGAAGCCAAGAAAAGTCAGGGACACAAGTCGATTCATTTATCAAGTTCTCGATGATGATACGTTCTGCACGATGACAGTGGAAAGTTGTGTAATCACAGCTAAAAGTATGAAGAGGGAACACAAAAAAAAAGAAAATAACACGCATTTGCTGACGTCAGAAGGCGAACACAAACAGCTTGAGAAAAGATTTATCAACTGCTAACTGCTGCCGGCGAACAACAGGGCGTATGTGTGATATTTGTCATATTTAACAAGGGGAAAGGGGGAGCGAAAGAGTGCGAACGACAGCAACACCATTCTCTGTCTAATTAGCTTCAATAAAGGGTTTACTTGGCTTAAAGAGAAGGTGAAGGGAAAGGGGAGGGGGGAGGGGGAGGAAGTTGGGAAAGACAATATCTCATGTCCGGCAGAATGGCAGTCAGAGGATTAACACGGCCACACCGCATAAGCAGCTTAAGTCCTTGGTCCTCCTCGGTTCGTCCTCCATCCAAAGCCAAAGGACTCACACGAGTGACAAATTAATCAGGTTTGCGCCATAAGGTGGAATCTCAATTAAGTCGCTGCCAAGTCAAGCTTTAAGTCCATTCCAGCCTGCAGTCATTTCTGGCTTCCCAATCCAATTTAAAACTTAAACAATACCCAACGACTTTGTGGTTCGTTTGACAGCAAAAGATCCAGAGCGACACTTGAGCAAAATCTAACTTCAAAATGGAAATTTCATTAAGCTCCAGCTTGTTCATTAAGATTTCAAATAGTTAGGAGTAGACAATGCCATTAAATAACAGTTTAGTTGCAAAATCAATTTTGTAATCTATAAAGTCTGCACTTTTGGTCCGCTCGCTTTCACAAAAGTAATGTGAATAGAATTTCATGGATTTATGGGGAAATAATAAAGGTAAAGGTAAACTACTTAATTAAGTAGTTAGGCAGTTTAGGTTATTATTTTAGTCCTAAAACCTAATCAAGATGTCCTTGTTTGGTAATTGAAACTTCGTAACAATAACAGCAGAAAATCACAACTGAAAAGTTTCCTTAGATAGAAAAGATATCAATGTAACAATCTCCTCATTAGTTGCTTTTGAATTTGCTTTACAAAATCAAGTTTACTCCAGTGGGAATCGGATTGGGTGGGTCACTTTCAAAACCTTTTCAACCTTCGCCCACACACAGTATCACCTTTTGGCAAGAGCCCAGCCAAGATTCAAAGTTAAGGACCGGCGCATCAATAATCAATGTCGGGGCAATAGAATCGCAATCAACTACGTGACATAAGGCCGTCAGTCAGCTTCACCTGGCACCTGAAAAGAATGGCAGCGACTCGAGTTGCAATTCCATTCGACACTCCCCGCTGGAATTGAGCCTCGAAAATGAGATTTTACATGGTGCATTCGGGAGATACCGCGCGAATCCTCGAAAGCTTTTCAGTGGCCACGCCCAGTTTGGTGGGCGGTGGGGGTGGCGGAGAAACGAGTGGCACTCGAAAGTCTAGACAAGACAGAGGCGGAGATGGTATAATATTAAATAAACAACATACAAGTGGAGGAATGGAATGGGACGAGTGCAAGTGCATTACGTATACGCCGCGTTTTCCCGGCCAAAAGAGAAGTTTTAAAGTTTACACCCAATCCGCGGAGAGGCACGCTAATGACCGCCTTTAATGCCAAGTTTTCGAGGAAATTGCACAAATTAAAGGCTCACGCAAGGCTTATTAGTGCTGCTGGTTGGGGCAATCAGCATTCGTTTCACAAAATCTCAATTCCGATTATTTGGCTTTGGCTTGGGGCTTTGGGAAGTTGCTCTATTGCAGCTGACGCCATTTTCATGTCGCTGCGAAAAGCCACAAACAACACAAAGCAACATCTTGCAACCGCACTTCCTTTGCAACATCTGCTCCTTCTCGATGTGCCACCATCCATCCCAATCCCCAACCCAAAACCCCACCCTGCACCCCATTCCACCCACTCATTGCATCCCACTTCTGGCTCACAGCTCAAATTCACTTCCTTTCATGTATATCCATTAAAGTGCCAATAGCAGAAGTTCTGAGAGAGCTTGATGAAAGAACTGCCATGCGGTGGCTGTGAAAATTCTGAAAATTTGCTTCCTGACAAGCTGAATGAAAAGCAGATTGTATTTGCTTATTTTTAAATAACTTAATATTCTTACAGCGCGTTGAGGAGTGCACACTTCTCCCATGAAACTTTAAATTGTGAAGTGAGTAGAAAGGGAAAAGTTATTTGCTTGCGAAATACTGTTTAATATCTACATAAATTCTTATATGTATGCTTTCTGAGAAGTTTCAGAGCAAGGAAATAGTTTTCTATAACACTTTAATTTTGATTGCTGATTTACTCGATTAAATTCAAAATATAATATTGAACTTATTACAATTTAATACATAACTATATCAATATTGTGATTCTACTATGCCAAAATAAATGTTATGTTTTTTTTGCAATTGCAAACAATAAGGTAAATTGTTGAGACAAAATAAATGTATGTTTCATACACGTTGCAGCAACCATTAACGCATGATTAGGAACTTTAAACAAATAAAAAAACCTTTCTATATACAAACCACAAAGTTGCTATCATAACATTCTAAAAGCATACAATTCTTTCCTTTATGAAACTCACTCAGAAGTTGAAAACGAACCTGTCATGCAGTTATGTGGAAATTCAAAAAGTAACAAGTTCAACACCACAGGAATGAACGAACTGTTTATAATTTAATGTATCAACAGTGCTTAAATAATTGCCGACTTTTTCATATATATTTATATATATAGCTTTCAGCATGAGAAGACAAAACCAGCGAGATAGCAGGGAAATGCACAAAGGCAGAAGAGCTGAAAAGCTGAAAGGCTGAAGAGTCGAAGAAAAAGCATTTCGATGTCGTTGTCATAGTCGGGCGCGCATGATTTCCGTGCTTAACATTTCCTGTTCGAAACTGCCATAAAATGCCACGACGGCAAGCAGAGAGAGAGTAGTTCGGGCGGAAGCACAGATCCTGGCTCCTCCGGCAGCCAAGGAATATGTAATGCAAAGGAGCAGACAGATGAAACAACAGCAACTGAATGATAGACACGAGCGGAAGCGAAACTATTCTAACAAAAACAAACTTTTGCCAGGGGAAAATAAACGAGCAAAGTTGCCACTGGCAACTTTAAGAGCGTTTTACTTTTTTCTCGTCGAGCTTGCGAAGCTTGAATCAAAGTGGAATTGAGGCGTCCTTAACTGTCGGGCCAAAGTTTAAGCCACAACGACTTAAATTGTCTCGGTAAAAAGAAGGAGAGCACTTGATGAGTAGAATATAAGATATTCAAAAAGCAATTCACTTTGTGTGAGCTCAATATTTGGTTATTGTATATCAATTTGGAAAGGATTTTATGGTTTTTACAACCTTTGAAATTATAAAATTGTTTGACAACTGGTTTTGAGGTGTTGTTAAACCGAAATGCACACATGTTTACAGTTTGCTTTTGATTTTGTTACTACTATTGCCTTCACTGCAGTTGGCATATCACATTTTTTGCCTCAAGTAAATAAATACCGGCAAAAAACGAATCGTTTAAAGTGTCACCGTTTTCTGCTGATTTATAGCTGGCCAAATTAATTGAGAATAAAAGCTGAAAGCAGAGGAGAACAAAAAGCTGAAATCGAGCCGTGTGCCTCGCGAAATTCAAACGAAGCTGTATAAAAAAAAAAACACAAAAAAAACAACACACACAGCACGAAATTAATTGCACTTGTGAACTTTTGATGCTGTTGTTTGGTTTGGTTTTTCGCCGCTGCCTTTGCCTCTCATTTGTAACAGTAAATTCAATTAAACAATGCAATCGTATAAACAAATCTCCGGCCTCACGCCCCCAAAAAAGCCAAATGCGCCCTCTCGCATAGTTTTTAATTGAAAAATGTGCAATTAAAACTCTCGAATGCAAAAGCGCAAGAGGACCCGCCGAACAACGGGGCGTATGAGCAATGTTCGTTATGTATAAATTATAAGTCAGAAGCAAATTAATTAAAGCACTTAATTTTCGCATAGATTCAATTACATTACATGGCATTCAA